CCCTGTGACAGTGTGGCGCTCCCTCAGCACTGACCCTGTGACAGTGCAGCGCTCCCTCAGCACTGACCCTCCGACAGTGCGGCGCTCCCTCAGCACTGACCCTCCGACAGTGCGACACTCCCTCAGCACTGACCCTGTGACAGTGCAGCACTCCCTCAGCACTGACCCTGTGACAGTGCGGCACTCCCCCAGCACTGACCCTGTGACAGTGCGGCGCTCCCTCAGCACTAACCCTGTGACAGTGCGGCACTCCCCCAGCACTGACCTGTGACAGTGCGGCACTCCCCCAGCACTGACCCTGTGACAGTGTGGCGCTCCCTCAGCGCTGACCCTCCGGCAGTGCGGCGCTCCCTAAAGAGTGTGGAGGTGTGGAGGCCTGACCTTTCAGCCTAAGAGCAGGAATATGCCCATGTGGGGCCATGGCTGACAATGTTTAATAGTGTTTGCACGGAGCTGGTCGAGGAGTAACATTTGTTGAGCTTCAGTCCGAGGCTGAAGTGTTCATTTCCTAATTCTGGAGAAGTGTGTTGTCAGGTCAGATGTAAAGGGTCACTCTGAGCTGGATGTGATTACAAGGGCAGATTAAGGAACGAGTTTCTTGAATCATACTTTGTTGTACAGCTGCATAAAGAAGTGGGACAGTATCATTAATGTTGAAATGCAATGCTTGCCCACACAACATCCCCTAAACCCTGTTTGTGTGCAAACAAATTAGCTGCAGCTCCACTGTGGTTTGGCCAGCACCAGAGAGTTTGCTGTTCCTCTTCCTTTAAAACTGCTTTAACTTAATGACTCCTTTAGAGATAGGACAAGGCAGCAACATGTTTGTTCTAAATTGAAACCAGCCCTGAACTGACCCTGGAGGATGTTCATCTGACCTCTGGAATACTGGCTTGCAGCTGCAACTGTCACACGCTAAAACTTGCTTTAAATATCAGAACGTGCACAGCTGCTCTGCCCCTTGCAGAGTCTGTTGTTGCCTCGAGATTAGTTCACATCGTGTCTTGTTACTCCTCCCTCCTCATGCTCACTTACCTACCCTGACGCATGGTGTAGCAAAGACTTGATCCTCAAACTGATGCCCTGGTTTCCAAATACTTCCCAAATCGACTCATGGCTCCCTGATTTTGTCAATTCCTCTATTTGAGTGCTAACCAGCTCTCTCGGGACACCTTTCATTCCAGCCTCAGTAATACATCCCATTTCCCTCCCTCCACAGCTCCCAATCCCCTCCCTCAGACCTCCTCACCTCCCTCTCCCTCAGCCTCTCCACCTGTCTCTGTTAAGACACTTCTGAAAGATAACCTCTTTGACTAAGGTTCTCGTCACTTTTTAAAGTTTCATTTGTAGGATGTGGGTGTAGCTGGCTGGGCCCAGCATTTATTTCCCATCCCCACTTGCCCTTGAGAAGGTGGGGGTGTGCTGCCTTCTTGAACCGCTGCAGTCCATGTGCGGTAGGTTGATCCCTTAGGGAGGGAATTCCAGGATTTTGACCCAGTGACAGTGAAGGAACAGCGATTATATTTCCAAGTCAGGATGGCGAGGGGCTCGGAGGGGAACTTGCAAGGGGGTGGTGTTCCCATGTATCTGCTGCCCTTGTCCTTCCAGATGGAAGTGGTCGTGGGTTTGGAAGGTGCTAAGAACATAAGAACATAAGAACTAGGAGCAGGAGTAGGCCATCTGGCCCCTCGAGCCTGCCCCGCCATTTAATAAGATCATGGCTGATCTTTTTGAGACTCAGCTCCACTTACCCGCCCACTCACCATAACCCTTAATTCCTTTACTGTTCAAAAATTTATCTAGCCTTGCCTTAAAAACATTCAGCGAGGTAGCTTCAACCGCTTCACTGGGCAGGGAATTCCACAGATTCACAACCCTTTGGGTGAAGAAGTTCCTCCTGACCTCAGTCCTACATCTGTTTCCCTTTATTTTGAGGCAATGCCCT